AAATGTTATAGAAGAAGAGGGTCAAATGTCCAAAATATTGGACAGTATGAACCTGAGAGGATTTCTCCCCAATAGAGAGTGTCCAAAATATTGGACATCAAAATATCAATATCGGATACATCTCTTTTTTGCTCCAAAACTGTTCATGTGTAGCGTCCTTCCAGTGTGACCTTTTAAAGCACAGGAGTCCGGAAAAGAATTTATGCTCCTTGTTGTATCACCCTCAACACCTGTGACCATTGCGTGCCTCACAATCAAGTGCAAATCAAAAAACAAAACAAGTATGTATTAAAAACATACCTTTGTTATGTGCGTACATACTCATTAGGGGAACCCATAATATCATGTGCACATGATCTGTCTTTTTCCCCCAAATCAAAACAAAACATAAAGACAACAGGGAGATACGATGTCATGTTCATTCCTTGTGCTGTTTTGAAAGACAGACAATAGGGAGATACGATGTCATGTTCATTCCTTGTCCTGTTTTGAAAGAAATATATTATTTCAGTAGATAGGATGCAAGACTCATCAAACAATCCAAACCACAGGGGCTTGAGTCTTGACAGTTGACCAAAAATGACACAGCTGATACTGGAAGACATAAAAAGTGTAGACATATCCGTCGGGTTTTTGAGAAATGAAAACTGGAAATACCCAAATAGAAATCAGAAATTCTTTCAAATATTTTGTTTCTTATTCCTCTCCCAGTTGTTCAAGTAAGGTAGAAAAATGTTGTAAACCTTCTCTGACAAACTGTAGATCATATTGAAGGCCTTGCCGGCTATGTAGGATACATCCCAGCAGAGAGACAGAAAAACATGATATAATATCTTTTCTACAGAGGAATCGAGTTCTCTCCTCAAAGACAGCAAGATAGAAAGTCTAACCGTTACACTACACCCTAGCTTCTCCAAACTGCACAGAGGTGCTAAGACGATCAATTTTGCCACCTTGTCCTGCACGGCAGAAGTTGTGAAGCAGATTAATGGAAAATATTACTTTGGTTATCCTGGGGGAGGTTAAAACATGTTTTTCATCAGAAATAAGAAGGCAACAAATCTCTACCTCAGAATTACAAAATTGTATCTGACATTTTTGGCCGTTTTGAGTTACTAAGACCATGAAGCAAACGTTCTGTCTACTCTATCAAAATCGTAAGAATATTCGAAGTTGTTATCAAGATATTCAAAGAATTGCATTAGAAAAAGTTTGACATGATGTGAAACTCAAAACTTTTGACATCAAATTTCTCAAAACTAGGTTCTGAGCAGATAGTTCTCAGGTAGCAAAATGCAAAAGAAGCTGAACATCACAAGGTGGACTTGAGGGCTGAACTTCTTGACACAAATTCAATAGAACCAATAAGAGGTTAGAACAATTCCTTTTTTCTCATGGCAACGCAAATTCGAAAACATGGGTACAAATGACTAGATTTGCAGTTATTTCAATGTGTCAAAAAATTTCCCTGTCAAGATTTCTGTACATTATTATCAGACGGCTTTTAGATAAAAGAGCACTTGGAAAAAAAATATAATGTTTTCATTTAAGACAAACCCAAGAAGGATATCAGAACAGACATATAATTATATTGAGAACTCCACTAAAATCTGGGACACCTTTTATATTATGACTCATCCCTGAACATAATCTGCTGTTCACGACACATTTTGATGATGTTATACTCCACCTCTGTGTAACTGGAAGAAATAGGTCAATTTCTTTTTTCGTTTTCTTGTTCTGAAACTTTTTCCAAGGTTCTCAATAAAAGTTACACGCGTCAGTATTTAAGTAGTAGTATAAAACTGTTGCTGATAACTTGTGTGTCTTATTTCATTACACTTAAATGTGTGGTGTGCTGACAAAATGAGTTACCTCTCGCAATCCACAAAGGGATTATTGACCAAAAAACCATTAGGGTCAAATTTGTAGATTTTCTATTGATGCCATATTCTTTAACAATATTAATCTGTCTTGTATTATTTCATACTTATAAATTGTAAAAACTTCACCTGTAAGCGTGATGTATCTATTTCCTTAAGGTTTGAATCCGAGAAGTAATTCACTTTGTCAGCTCGCTTCACAAATTATAAGAGGATATTTCCCGTTTCGAAATATTTTCAAGAAGCCAGTTACTCAATAAGAGCATAACACCACCATAATATTTTTTGACAGCGTTTCCCTACCAATGTCAGAAGAGAAAGTATAGAGTAATTAGCAGTCTGTGTGAAGGACAAGGCTGTGGTGCATAAAATGAATACATAAACCATCTTTTGATGTGAACAATGATGAAAGGAATATAGTCCAAAGGGTTAAACAAACAACCACAAAGCATGGTCGAGTATAAAATATGTACATGAGGTGAAAATCTTCAACCTGCCATTGTATGTAACTTATCTATATTTTGATAACTTTGCTGACAGACATTCTGAGATTATTTATTAAGACCATTGCTCCGCTGCAAGTTCTTTACAACCATCTCTTTCTCCTCTAGTCGATATACACACTCTCTCCTCTCTCTCACTCTTTCTCTCCACCTCTCTGTTCTTTTCTCTCACTCTCTTGTGTGTTTGCGCATGTGTGTGTGTGTGTGTGTGTGTGTGTGTGTCTGTGTGTGTGTGTGTGTGTGTGTGTGTGTGTGCGTGTGTGCGTGTGTGTGTGTGTGTGTGTGTGTGTGTGTGTGTGTGTGTGTGTGTGTGTGTGTGTGTGTGTGTGTGTGTGTGTGTGTAAGTGTTTCTGTGACAATGTCCAAGTAGATTACAGCTGGAAAATACCAGTTGCAACATGTACAAGGAAAAACCCGATGATCTGTCTTTAATTACATTATCTTGCGTCTTTTCAGGATAAAATAAACATCTATATCTCCATATATCTATATGTATATATCCATCTAAATATATGTATATAAAATTAAACTAATGTTAGAATCATGATGCAGCAGGCCCTTCTGCTGGCACCATTTACCTTCGCGCAATGAGTTGATCAAAAGGCTTATGGATTGTGACAATTTGTTTCAAAGGGACAAAAAAAAAATGGAACAAATTAAGAATACAAAAAACAAATTAACAAAACAAAACCTTTCACAAGGACAAAAAAAAATGGAACAAATTAAGAAGACAAAAAACAAAAAACAAAACAAAACCAACTGTAGTCTCATTGGTATAGAAGAGTAAACATAGGAGAGAACGATGTGAAGTAAAGTAAAAAGTTGCACATCGTTGAGTCATGTGTTACTCCGCAACATAGCACCATTCAATACAATTCTTGTGGCTTGAGGAATACAGGAGACAACAACAGTATTTGAAGAAATATGCGCATAATTAACTCAATTAATCTGATCGTACCACACACAGGAGGAGTCTGGATTTACCAGAAGTGCCCCGACCGTCTCATCTGTGTGAATTATAACAAATCTATTACCGACTCCCACAGTTTATCTGTATGATATATAATAAATCTGTTACTGACTCCCAGAGATTATCTTTGCGATATACAATAAATCTGTTACTAATTCCCAGAGTTTTATCATTATCATGAAGCAATTTGTCCACGAGATATACACACTATTTACGACACTTTAGCAAAAAATTCGGATTTGGGTCTGTACCTAGCGCAGTTTTCAGTTCAGCAGGCACAATAAGAGGCAATCCTTGGCTCTCAAAATACTTGTTCAAAGAAGTCCATAGAAAACATCATTCAACATTTCAAATGGGATCTTGAGTTTGGAAAATACGATGAGAGATCCACAGAATATTACTCTGCTGTTGATCCAGGAGTTTTGCCTGGTACTGACTGTGTTACCTTAACCCTATCCGTACGTCGTGTTTTACTATCGTATCCATACGACAAGGGAAACTCTGTGCCATCACTTTTCAAAGAGGAAATTTACTGGTTAATCCGATCCGTATGCTTTGCATAGCAGTGTGGCAAATTATTTTTTGAGAAATACTGAAAGTTTCAAAGAGATCTGCGTACTAGAAGTATTCTTAAATGTGAAGAATACAACCCCGGGGGTACAAAATGACCCCAGGGCGTAGGGATAGGGTAAAGCCATGACAAGAACGAAGGACCCAGTGAGGGTGAAGATTTTGCCCAAAAACTTCCAGAGAGAAGTACAAAAATTTTTACTTTCTACAAATCACCGAAAGTAACATCTATGCTTTTGACTTTACCAATGTTAATGGAGTATCTTAATATCTTGTGTCATGAATAAAACAAGGAGAAGTGGATAGATCAATCTGATATATCAGGGTGCAATTTTGAAAAACAAATACATCCTTAAAAAATTCACAGCTATTAGTTGGGTGCTATGGACTATTTAGCAGATATTTCATTATCAAAACTTAGAAGGGTATGTGAGACTACTTTCCACATATTTCATTTATCAAATTAAGGGCTCCGTGGGTAAAAGTAGGACTACTTTGTAAACATTTTTGGCAAAACTCAGGACTCAGAGAGAGACTTCTATGCACATTTTACTTCTCCTGCACTTGAGAGTCACTATTTCCTACTCTTTCGCAAAAAAATATATAAAGAAAGCGAATTACTTTTCCGGGGCACTACCAATAGGTCCAAATTCAACTTGTGATTTGTTCAGAAAGTGGAGGCAGGAACTGAATATGTCCCCCAGTGTCTTGGCCATGCCTAGCATAATTGCTGCTTTTCCATATGAAGCCCCCAAATCGTAATTTAGATGATTCAAGGGGTGGAAAGGCCCCCTAGTGAGGGTAGATACTGCCGAACCTGTCCTAGTGGCCACCTGTCAAAGACAGTCACCTGTACAAGCAATACCTCTTCTCACTTTCCCTCTAGCGCTTTTTCTATATTACACTGACATCCACACCTGTCTCAGCAGCCACTTTTCTCCTCAACAATGGGTGGCCGTCTTGGACAATTTCAGCTAAATTTGAAAGAATACATAGTACGCATATATTCTCATCCAACACACAACAGTTCAATCAGTCATCACAAAGCCTCCTCCCTCTCACCCCCTCACAATATTGCCCTCTCGTTCACTCCACACAATCCATTCATTACTTCACAAACAAAAAGCAGACCAGCAACATACCCACAATATGCACTCAATTTTGTAGCAGCACAACACACACGCACTGAGAGATCATCAAGATTCTGTAAACACAGTCTATAAGAGCACAAGACATTTGACATATCATCATAATGCTAGGTTGCCATCACAAGAAGTGTCAGGTTGGAAAGAACGGCTACAGATCTTCGTGGACAATTTTCTCCTCAGACTGCTGGTCCTTCTCCACCTGCTTCAGCGTCTTTCTGGCCTGGAATATAGAGACAATTTGTTAGAATGATGTAAGAATGATGTAGAAATAATGTAAGAACGATGGCCACAGAGTTGTAGCTTTCAGTAAATATGCTGTTTCAGTTTTAGTAAAAGTTTTTCTGCACTTGCAACGCAGCACCGAATAATGAACTCACCAAGCTCATTTGCATACGAACTGGGCCGTGTGACTTTGTCTCGGTGTGTAGGCGTCTGGCTGAGCGTGATTGTAAGTTGGGTCGAGTGTGCGATTGCTGGTCTGATACACTGAGCCTAAGTAAGGCAACCATTTGTTTCTTTATTAATAAAATATATGAATTAATAAAAACAAATGTCTCAGTGCTGCTGTTTCTAACTGATGTTTGTAAAGAAAATAGGTCATACAAGTAATCAAGATAAGAAGTGTTAGTTATCAAAGAGTAACATACAACAAAAAGGAGAAGGAGAGATTTAAAGGATGACAAATGTTTTTAGTTTAGTTTCAGTAGAAGTTTTACGGCGCTCGCAACTGCATAAGGTCATATGAGCGCCAGAAGATTAGAGGTGTTACAAGAGAGTAACAAACATAAAAAAGAAGGAGGGGAGATAAGGACGATAGATTTTTGATAGGAAAGAAGAAGCAAACCACACCAGAGCACCCACCAACCAACCACTGACAGAAGTTTGAGAGGAAAGAAGAAGCAAACCACACCAGAGTACCCATCAACCATCCACTAAATAGAGAGAAGATTCAAAACTGCGATAGACATTTGAATTTGTATTGTGCCACAAATATGACTAGTGTGAATCAGCTGTAACAAGAATCTGAATGTGAGAAAATACAAAGGATTAGACACACACGCCTACACACACAAACACAGCTACACCAATATCCTCTTATACATACACAACTAAACTTACAAAGCGAAACAAATCCACACATAAGCACATTTATTATCTCCAAACACAAATACACATACAAACATCTGCACACAACCAGATACATAATAAG